ATTATTGGCTCACTATGGAGCGGGACTCCATATAATTTGTTTGTAAATTTTATAAATGTCAAATACACAGTGATTTGATACATTCTCCTCCCTCCGAGTTGCATGCAATGTCTGCTCCATGGACCTTGTGGCATGGGGAATGTATGTGATTGGGACAATAGATACAAAAGTATCAAATGGTCATAGGATCATCCTTGTAGCCATTGATTATTTTACAAAGTGGGTGGAAGTAGTAACTTTCAAGTCAATGACCAAGAAGGTTTTGGTAGATTTCATTCATTTCAGCAGCATCTGCTGATTCGGTAATCCAAAGGTAATTATTACCGATAATGCTGTGAATCTCAACAGTCGTTTAATTTAAGAGGTATGCCATCACACTACTACAAAAAAGGTCTCTAGTGGCAAAAAAACTTACATCAGCGGCAATAAGAATTGCGACGATATCCTTTACAGGCCATTGATATTTAGCCAGCGATTCAGGGGTCAGCAATGCCTTTGATGACCAATCTCACAAAAGCTGGTAAAGGGTAAAATTTATTGACGCTAAAAAGTATTAATTTTAATGGCATTTGTTTGTGGCAGTTATTTTAGTTGTTCAATCAAATTCATATCAGCCAACTATGCTCTTTTAGCATCCATTTTTATAGCCATTAAACATAATTGAATTGCCACTAAAAAGCCAATTGTTTTAATTGCAAAATTTTCATTTTTGTTAGTTATCGGTTGGTAATTTCAATAACATAAAATTAGCATTAGTAATTCATTAGAAATTTTACTAACGTGTTGAAAATCTGTTCGTATATCCAATTATTCATTTTCCAAAATAAGTTAGTGATAGGTTAAAAATACATTAGTTATTTTACTAACGAAAATAAAGTTAATTTGTAAAATTTGTTTTTCATTTTGTGGATTCCGTAATTAATATTGTCAATAAGGTAAACTTCTACAAAATTTAAAACTATAATATATGTTAAATATTGCTTTAAAAATGGGAATGAAAACTTAAATAAATTGGAAATCTCTTGTTAATATAAATGCTGACAATTGTTAGCAACAACATATCAAATATTTCAAAAATACATACAACTGATCAACACACGAAATGGTCTCAACAATGCAATAGAATACAATGTCTTCAATTACATCAAATAACTAATCTCAAGCCTAAAAAAAACCTCATCATTTCCCGCAGACGAATAGTGGATGTCTGAAGTACCGATGTACGAAGCGTCTGCTTCAATGACACCATAAACTTTAAGCGTCTCCTCATCGAAAAGGGAAAAAGGAAAGGAAATTAGATATCATATACAATATAGTGCAACTGTGCAAGTTTTTGGAATCGATAAAGACAACAACCATAAACAAGTTTACTTATGTAGTCATACATTCGAACCCTCCTACCAATACAACCAATGCGAAGTGATTTTCTTATTACTACTTCATGAATTAGGCATTTTAGAAGCTACTATTAGGAGTAAATTTTATCAATACACAACTTACCTATTAGAAGATTTACACCCATTAACATGGTCATGAATGGAATTGTTACCTCATAGAGTATATCAAATCATGCAACAGAATTGTCTCATGTTCTGCATGAGAACCCATACACTGACCATTTAGATGACCTTAGAGCTCCTGCAACCATTCACTCTCAGTCCATACAACTAAAATCCTCAAAAACAAGATTAAGTCTGTGGATACAGGGCAAAATCCTAGAGGCTTATTGCCTCTTCAACAAAATGAGACTCAAAAGGCTGACAATAATATTCAGAGGAAATAGCAGGTCAGTGAAGACAATGAGAAAATTACTAATGTAGAGAAAAGAGTAGAAGGCCATAAGATTGTTAACTCTCAGAACAATGTGACTGCTACTGGAGTTAAGCTTCGCAACAACGCATCCCGGGAAAAATTAAACAAGAAGAAAACGGATACTATCAAGAAAAGACAACAAAAAGAAAAATGAACAGAAAAATGAGCAAATGAAAGATAAAAGGCAGAAAGTCATGATCAACAATGTCCAGCAGACAATATTCAAGGGGCATAATTGATGCATAGGGTTAGGGATGATTATGATGTTATGCACTCAGAGGAGGAACTTGATCAAGACACCCAGTCAATAGAAGAAAATGCAGATGAGGAAGAGAGACTAGTGAATACCTGATCAAAGCATTTGGATCCATGTGACATAGAGATATTCGGAAAGAGATTCGGGAAGTCACTAATCAACAGGGCCTATCTCCTAGGAAACAACAAAAACAAAAACAGGATGGTACCAGTACATCTAGCAAACCCAACACTAGGTCCAAAAATAAAGTTTTTTAATGATTAACACCATTTATGGGAATGCTAGAAGTATTACCACCAAATGATCATTTGAAAGACTCCAAACTCTCAAACAAATACACTATTTATTTGTGATAGCAGTTTTGAATCCTTTTTTGTAGACAACTCCCACCTAAAACAATACAGACTCCATTTAAGTATGGATAATGCTCATTGTAATCCAAATTGAAAAATTTGGGACAAACAATGATGGCTATTTAGAACTAAGAATTCTCTTTGGTGAAAATTTCTTAGAGATAAGTACTGTTACAGGGCAAATCTGGTCGCTAAGAAGTGGGATAGTGGTCAATCTCTAGTGTGGAAATATATGACGACTAATAAACAGACACTAGAGCCTCATATATTATGGAAAATAATTCTTTTTGGTGGGATAATTGGCTTGGAGTAGGTGCTCTTGCAGGTTACTATTTCAATGTCCCATTTCATTGAAGATGGCCAATGGAATGAAAGTTTAGAGAGACAACATGCCCCTACACTCATGATACCTCAAATATTAAATACCAAGCTCTATTACCAGGAAGGGGTTGCAGATGAAGCAGTCTGGAAGTTAACTGATAATGGTTCCTTTTCTTGTGCTATAGCCTGGGAAATCGGTAGGAGGATGGATGAGAAAACCATGTCCAATGAACTCATTTGGCATAAACATATCCTTTCAAGATAACTTTTCTTCTTTGGAGGGACCTTAGGGAGAAACTTCCTACAAATGAAAAAATCAGTACTTTTAGAAAGGAACCTACCAGGTGTTCTTGTTTCATCAAGTAACGCTGGGAGAATATCCAACATATATTTGTACTGTTCACGTCGCTAATAACATTCGGACAAAATTATCTACTGGCTTAGGACACACAAAGACACATCCGTCTAAAGCATAGTCTTTTGTGGTGGTGGTCCATAAAGCCTAAGAATGATGTCCATAAACTAATTCTCCAATCTCTTCCTATTATAATTTGTTGGAATCTTTGGAAGAACAGGTACAATGCGAAGTATGGTAAGAAACAGTCCAGCAGCAGCAGAGTGAACTTCCTTATCGTTAAATATATGAAAACATTCTAAACACTACTTATTTCAATATATAATGGCCTCATAGCTGGAGGGAGGTAATTATCTTGATGGAGGGGTGCATCTAAGAAGCTACAATCATCTCTGTTAAATGGGAAGTTCCTAAACATGATACCTAACTTAACTCAGATGGTAGTGCTTTAAACAACCCCGAAAATATATGCGGTGGGGGCATTATGCGAGACTGCCAGGGCAGCATAGTATATGCATACACCATTCCTCTTGGAATTGGGACAAACAGCCAAGCTGAAATACAAGCAGCCTTCTATGGAATGCACTGGTTTATTCAACACGGATACAAGAAAATCATGCTTGAAGTGGACTCGGAACTCTTTACCAAATTGCTTAAACCCAACAGCAACCCCATGGAGAATGCATAAATTCATTCAAGAGCTCCAAAACTTAATCCAACAGTTTGATTTCAGTACAGGCACATTTACAGAGAGGCAAACTCAACTGCTGATTTTTATCCAAATGGAGCAATACTTGAGACATCACTCAACACTTCTGTTCGGACCAACAATTGCGTTCAATTTCTAGAGGAAGCTATATTTTGGAGAATATGGAAATGACTAACTTCAGAAAGGAAAAAGTTAAGAAGAATAAAATAACCACTGTAAAGTCTTGATCCTTCAGTTTGTACAGAAGTCTCTATACTTAAGTGAATCTTATTCAAATAAGCTCTTATTGTTGTAATAGCTTCCTTGAAAAAGGACTAGTTTCTATTTCTTTTCTTACATTTGTAAGGGGAGAGTCTCCCTTATTTATGTTTCCTATATTTTCTGTATCGAGAGGAGTCCTCTCTTTTAGGTGCATAGTTAATAGGTTTCTTTTTATAGTATGGGTAGGAAGATTGACTCTGTCACATCCAAGGAGCACCCCCTAGAAGTAACATGGTGTACTTGACCTCTCAGAGGTCTTATACAAACCCATAGTTATCATTCATCGCATTGTCATAGGTAAATTTAGCGGAAAATTTGAAACTTTCTTAGCACATCATATGGTAAAACATTACTTCATATATATATATATATATATATATATATATATATATATATATA